GACATTTTTTGGTACCCTTCCCCAGATCTGTGCCGCGACACAATCCTGTCTTGGAGCTCTACAGACAATTCCTTCGACCTCATGGCTTGGTTTTTGCTCTGACATGCACTGTCAACTGTGGGACCTTATATAGACAGGTGTGTGCCTTAAATGTACTACAGGTGGACTCCAATCAAGTTGTAGAAACATCTCAAGGATGATCAATGGAAACAGGATGCACCTGAGCTCAATTTCTAGTCTCATAGCAAAGGGTCTGAATAATTATGTAAATAAATTTTAATACATTTGCAAACATTTCTAAAAACCTGTTTCACTTCGTCATTATGGGTTATTGTGTGTAGATTGATGAGGATTTTTATTTATTTAATCCATTTTAGAATAAGGCTGTAACGTAACAAAATGTGGAAAAAGTTAATACTTTCCGATTGCACTGTACATCATCCCCAGCGTATTTATTAACTTGATCATGCTTAAAGACATATTCAATGTCTAATTTGTTATTGTTACCCATTTACAAATCACTGCCATTCTTTATGAGGCTTTCGAAAAGCTCCCAGGTCTTTGTAGTTGAATCTGTACTTGAAATTCAATACTTGACTTAGGGACCTTACAGATGTTGGTATGGGGGACAGAGGAAGGGGTAGTCATAAAAAAATTTCAACACCTATTATTTCACGCAGAGTGAGTCCATGTAACTTATTATGTGATTTTTTTAAATCCCAATTTTAATTCAAATGTTAGGCTTGCCTAAACAAAGGGGGTGAATACTTATGCAACGACTATATTTTAGTTATAAAATTTTTATTCATTTGTAAAAAGGTGTAGAATGTTCTTTTCACTTTGACATTATGGATTATTTTGTGTAAATAAATGACAAAAATCACAAAACCTATTTCATCTCACTTTGTAACACAACAAAATGTGAAGAAATCCAAAGGGAGTGAATACTTATGATAACCACTGTATGTGGAGCGAATGATAAAGGGGTGGATGGGACATTGACATAATGGGAGGTAGGGGGGTTTAAGAATGAGTGGGCTAGCGTTAGGAATGAGGGGGCTGCTACAGTTGGCTGAGGGATGAGGGGGAGGTATGGAGGGGAGGGGGAGGGGGTTGGAGGTGAGGACAGAATATACCCTAGAGTAGAAACACCTGCCACTACAGGTGTGTGACCTCAACCTTTTAACCTCTCGTATCTTTCATCACACACTTTAACGTTTCTAGTCACAAGTGACTGGGCATGACACAGCAGAAAAAACATCACTCATCTCCGTCACCAGTGGACTCAGCACTCCCAGCCATTCTAAGTGACACACATAATGACTGAGTACAAGTTTATATATTATCTGAACTATGCATTACAACAGGTGACCATCATGAAACATGTCTGAAGTCATTATGATGCAAGGTCACCATAGGACTAAACCATTTTGTTCTAAGCTTACCATAAATGAGAGTAGGAGAATGTTAGTTAGAATGGGACTGGGTAAGAAGCAATTTATTGCACAAATAAAACATCATAACATACTAGGGACATTTTACTGCCTACCAAAGAACATCTACATGTTAAAATACAGTACAGTACATTTACAGTACAGTACATTTACAGTACAGTACATTTTGTCCTTGAGTGCTTTTTCGTCTTGGTTTATACACATGTCAAATGATAAAATAAAAAATATACCTTAATTCATTTTGTTCATTGGGTGATACTATATAACCTGATATAAAAACACTGAATGTGTACAAATGATAGCTTGCTATGCTTGCTAGCTATATTGCTTGCTATATTGTACGCAATCACTGACAGTTGCTCTAGTTATCTACTGGAAAGAGGGAAAGGGGCCTTAAGGAAGCGCTTCATAAACCATTTTCAATTCATCAATCAATCAATCAAACGATGGTCATTGTCATGTCATGTTGTTCTCTGGCCCATCTGGCTCTACAACTCATAATAATCACCTCATCAACTCATCTTACTGAAATAACATTGTACTAAAAAAGGAACATGATATCATTGAAGATTCTTCTCAGAATAAATAACACTAAAATATGGTGCTACAGAAATCACATTCAAACACACGTTATGAGGTCCAGGAAAATTCTGAATTGCAAATGGTGTCTTGTGACATAGCACTTAACATAGCCGTTTTTGTAGAAATGCAGGTGAACTCTGTGAGTAAAGGTGTTATTACAGTCTCTTCAGTGGTGAGGTTGGAACAGTGTCTTCCATGCCATTTCTCTGTGGCCTAAGTGAGGAATTCCGACCCGAGTTAAGCGTGCTTAAATGGAATGTAAATCCCTTTTTATGCACTTTTCTCTCTACACGTATTCTGACCTTAAACTTAAGCATGAGAATTAAGTTTCTCTGTCACATCCGTGTAGTTGTTCCTGAGGGTCACTAGCAATAGTGGATCATATTAGGCTAACGTTGTGCAATAATTTGGGGCATGTAGCCTATTTGAATCATTATGGATCTCAGACCACACTTAGCAGTTTAAACCTGGAGCCTGGCGCACGATGACTGGACCGTTGTCATTACAGTTCCATTATTAGTGAGGATTATGGTCGATTTCTAGGACTAGCCTATTGTTCAAAACCTATTGTACACTTTTTCACATTGAATTTGAATATGGCAACTTTCAGGATGAATCAAAGCACTGTATTTTTTATTCATCAATATATTTTGTGCGTAAAGGCTCACCAAACCAGTTTATGAGTCATACATACTCTCCTAACCCTAATATTTGCCTAAATAATCTATGAGAATATTTTTAAACCAGTTAGTGCTGAAACTGAGACAAATATGCATATATTTAGGGGGCTTCCTTTCATTGATCTCTAATATTCTGAAGCTTTTCTCTCGATGTATTTTAGTAAATCTGTCGACAACATTTTTATTAAAGGTACACCGTGTTCAAAGGGATGGCTTAAGATAAATGTACACTACCGGTCAAAAGTTTTAGAACACCTACTCATTCAAGGGTTTTTCTTTATTTTTACTATTTTCTATATTGTAGAATAATAGTGAAGACATCAAAACTATGAAATAACACATATGGAATCATGTAGTAACCAAAAAAGTGTTAAACAAATCAAAATATATTTTATATTTGAGATTCTTCAAAGTAGCCACCCTTTGCCTTGATGATAGCTTTGCACACACTTGGCATTCTCTCAACCAGCTTCACCTGGAATGCTTTTCCAACTGTCTTGAAAGAGTACCCACATATGCTGAGCACTTGTTGGCTGCTTTTCCTTCACTCTGTGGTCCGACCCATCCCAAACCATCTCAATTTGGTTGAGGTCGGGGGATTGTGGAGGCCAGGTAATCTGATGCAGCACTCCATCAATCTCCTTCTTGGTAAAATAACCCTTACACAGCCAGTGTGTTGGGTCATTGTCCTGTTGAAAAACAAATGATAGTCCCACTAAGCCCAAACCAGATGGGATGGCGTATCGCTGCAGAATGCTGTGGTAGCCATGCTGGTTAAGTGTGCCTTGAATTCTAAATAAATCACAGACAGTGTCACCAGCCAAGCACCCCCGCACCATAACACCTCCTCCTACATGCTTTACGGTGGGAAATACACATGCGGAGATCATCCGTTCACCCACACCGCGTCTCACAAAGACACGGCGGTTGGAACCAAAAATCTCCAATTTGGACTCCAGACCAAAGGACAAATTTCCACTGGTCTAATGTCAATTGCTTGTGTTTCTTGGCCCAAGCAAGTCTATTCTTCTTATTGGTGTCCTTTAGTAATGGTTTCTTTGCAGCAATTCGACCATGAAGGCCTGATTCACACAGTCTCCTCTGAACAGTTGATGTTGAGATGTGTCTGTTACTTGAACTCTGTGAAGCATTTATTTGGGCTGCATTTTCTGAGGCTGGTAATTCTAATGAACTTATCCTCTGCAGCAGAGGTAACTCTGGGTCTTCCATTCCTGTGGCGGTCCTCATGAGAGCCAGTTTCATCATAGCGCTTGATGGTTTTTGCGACTGCACTTGAAGAAACTTTCAATGTTCTTGAAATTTTCCGTATTGACTGACCTTTATGTCTGAAAGTAATGATGGACTGTCGTTTCTCTTTGCTTATTTGAGCTGTTCTTGCCCTAATATGGACTTGGTCTTTTACCAAATAGGGTAAAAGACCCCCCCCCCCCCCCCCCCCCCTACCTTGTCACAACACAACTGATTGGCTCAAACGCATTAAGAAGGAAAGAAATTCCCACAAATTAACTTTTAAGAAGGCACACCTGTTAATTGAAATGCATTCCAGGTGACTACCTCATGAAGCTGCTTGAGAGAATGCCAAGGGTGTGCAAAGCTGTCATCAAGGCAAAGGTTGGCCATTTGAAGAATCTCAAATATAAAATATATTTTGATTTGTTTAACACTTTTTTGGTTACTACATGATTACATACGTGTTATTTTATAGTTTTGATGTCTTCACTATTATTCTAAAATGTAGAAAATAGTAAAAATAAAGAAAAGCCCTTGAATGAGTAGGTGTTCTAAAACTTTTGACCGGTACTGTACTGAAAACTCTATTGAACGAAAACTCCACGAGAAAGTCTGTTGGCCAGCAAGTGGGAGGATTTTCAGCAGTTTAATTACATTTATTTATTTACAAGGAAACCACGTCTGCAAAGCCTGCATAAGGAAAGTCTGAATACCAACTACTGAGAAGTCAATATGAAAGACGTGCGTAGGAAAGGCATACATTTCCTAATTCTGAATCGACCCCTACATCCATAGTACACCATTGTCTTGGCTCCGGACAACCATCCCAGTGGGAGTAGCAGAATGAAGTTATCCCCAGACGTTGATCTAAGGTCAGTGTTGCATTGCTTCCCTCAGTGGTAAAGGTTAGTATTTGAGGAGGGTAAACTGTTTCTCGATCTGTGGCAGAGGGAGAATTCCACCCGCAGTACAACAGCTTCTCTAAAGTCAGGGGTTAGAGGTTAATGGTCCTAGCGGCCCCCTCAATGATTCGTCAAAGAAGGGCAGAGGGGCGTCTTGGCTGAGCAGGGGCATCCTCTCTCCGAGCACAGCGTCTCTGAAGTTTGGTCGTCTCCAGGCATAGACCACGCTGTTCAGACAGCCCTGCAGCGACACCGTCACCGCCTGCAGTGACACCAGGATGGGAATGGAAGGGGGCACCTAGTCAGTTGCACAACTGAATGCATTCAACCGAAATGTGTCTTCTGCATTTAACCTAACCCCTCTGAATCAAGATGGAGTATAGTGGGTAAGGATAAAGCATTATGGGTGCTTATCTTAGTGTCATTATGCATTTTACATTGCTAAAGAAGGCTCTCTAGGGGAAAATGGCAATTCATTTTCCCCTAGAAATACTGACCTGTATAACATATAGGGGGAAGAGATTCTCTTGAGGTATGTCTGGTATCACAGAGAGGACAACCAGAACAAGAGCTGTGGACGGGACAAAATAGATTATATTAGTCCTGAGGTTGGAGTTACAAAGTTACACGCATCCAGGGTGTGTGTGTGTGTGTGTGTGTGTGTGTGTGTGTGTGTGTGTGTGTGTGTGTGTGTGCATGCGTGCGTGCGTTTGTGGGGAGATGACTTTGTGTACCTGGCGTCCAGCAGAAGATGATGACCACCATCATGTAGCGAACAGTGGAGAACACACCCCTCAGCCGTTTCCTGGAACGTGCATCTCTCTCCACAGGAAATAGTCCCTCCTCCTCATACCTGCGATACCTGCTGCCCACCTTGTAGTAAACCACCTGTACATCACCATAACTCATCATTTTCATGATCATCATTCTTCATTCTATTGGCTGTAAACTACTGTAAATGAACCCATGTTTATGAGATAACTATGGTGATTGTTGTACTGTATGTTAGATTAGTGAAGATCTATGGTACTTACTGTGCAGCACACCAAAACTGGTATCACACTGACGAAGAGGAAGCATCGTATGAAGATATCATGGATCTGTTCCTGGAAAACAAAACAAGGTCTCATTCAATATGCTGTCCAGTCCCTTTATGAACAGATCAAATCAAATCAAATTTTATTTGCCACATGCGCCGAACACAACAGTGAAATGCTTACTTACAAGCCCTTAACCACAATGCAGTTTTAAGAAAAATAATTGTGTTAAGTAAAAAATAGATAAGTTAAAAATAACTAATAATTAAAGAGCAGCAGTAAAATAAAATAACAGTAGGGAGGCTATATACAGGAGGTACTGGTACATAGTCAATGTGCGGGGGCACAGGTTAGTCGAGGTAACTGAGGTAATATGTACATGTCGGTAGAGTTAAAGTGACTATGCATAGATAATAAACAGAGAGTAGCATCAGCGTAAAAGAGGGGGTGGGGTGGGGGGCCAATGCAAATAGTCTGGGTAGCCATGATTAGCTGTTCAGGAGTCTTATGGCTTGGGGGTAGAAGCTGTTAAGAAGCCTTTTGGACCTAGACTTGGTGCTCCGGTACCGCTTGCCGTGCGGTAGCAGAGAGATCAGTCTATGACTAGGGTGGCTGGTCTTTGACAATTTTTAGGGCCTTCCTCTGACACCGCCTGGTATAAAGGTCCTGGTGGCAGGAGGCTTGGCCCCAGTGATGTACTGGGCTGTACGCACTACCCTCTGTAGTGCCTTGCAGTCGGAGGCCAAGCAGTTGACATACCAGGCAGTGATGCAACCAGTCAGGATGCTCTCGATGGTGCAGCTGTATAACTTTTTGAGGATCTGAGGACCCATGCCAAATCTTTTCAGTCTCCTGAGGGGGAATAGGCTTTGTCGTGCCCTCTTCACTACTGTCTTGGTGTGTTTGGACCATGATAGTTTGTTGGTGATGTGGACACCAAGGAACTTGAAGCTCTCAACCTGTTCCACTACAGCCCTGTCGATGAGAATGGGGGCATGCTCAGTCCTCTTTTTTTTTCCTGTAGTCCACAATCATCTCATTTGTCTTGATCACATTGAGGGAGAGGTTGTTATCCTGGCACCACACGGCCAGGTCACTGACCTCCTCCCTATAGGTTGTCTCATCGTTGTCGGTGATCAGGCCTACCACTGTTGTGTCATCGGCAAACTTAATGATGGTGTTGGAGTCGTGCCTGGCCATGCAGTCATGGGTGAACAGGGAGTACAGGAGGGGACTGAGCACGCGCCCCTGAGGTGCCCCCGTGTTGAGGATCAGCGTGGCAAGTCTGATGTTATCTACCCTTACCACCTGGGGGCGGCCCATCAGTAAGTCCAGGATCCAGTTGCAGAGGGAGATGTTTAGTCCCAGGGTCCTTAGCTTAGTGATGACCTTTGAGGGCACTATGGTGTTGAACGCTGAGCTGATACAACATGGGTGGAACCAGGTATTTACTCACTATATCTGAGCAGTGGTCCCTCCAGATATGCAGGAAGGGGATACAGCTAAGAGGAAACACAATCACAGAGAGATGTGAGACATTCATAAGAAATGTTTTGCTAGAGTATGTACATTTTCTCTCATTAAAGTGTCATAAGCATGCAAATGGACCAGGACGAACCCTGGCCTTCGCAGCACACAAAGACACACACACACACCTGTTGCAGTATGTGCTAGCTTCACCGTTGTTTGCCGTCATCTGGCTGGGTGGTACCAGGACTAAAGTCATCACGTACACAAAGTACATCACCAACGGTATAAACCTGTAGGGGCATCACACACACACACACAGTCCGGGACATACTGTATGTTGCTTTTAAGTCACTACGCAGATCAGTTTGGTTAAAAGCAGGGATGTTTTTATTTGGAAATGAAATAGTTTGACTCACCACACACAAGTATATACAGGCACAACCCCCACCCTTTGTCTACACTGGGACTGGGGGGAGAGAGGGATATTAGATTTTAGAATAAATCAAACAAAGTTGTGTGCGTGTGTGTGTGTGCATGCGTGCGTGTGTAGGAGCCCTTGGTGGATGGTTGGGTTCTCACCTCTTCCTCTCTTGGTCTCTCCCTCCATCCCTCGACGGCATGCTTTGACTCCCAGGCATACACTACCACCAGGAGGAACGACACAAAGTAAAACATCTGGAACAGAGAACACACACACTGTTAAATTATTATAATAGCAAATGGCACACAGTAAAGTGTCAAGAGCACTACAGTTAAAGGTCTATAATAGAAAGGACAAGCAGTAAAACTTTGCTTCGTCACACTCTGTCTCTGCAAATGACATGGCATTATGTCATGCTCCATGACATAACACAGCATAGAACAGTTCATCCACCACCAATTCTGTCTGACTTACACATTCCTCATGAACGAAAAATGCTATTAAAATTAGATCATGCTGAAGCACTCAAAGACAGACTGTATGTACACTACCGTTCAAAAGTTTGGGGTCACTTAGAAATGTCCTTGTTTTTGAAAGAAAAGCAATTTTTGATATGTCCATTAAAATAACATAAAATTGATCAGAAATAAAGTGTAGACATTGTTAATGTTGTAAATGGCTATTGTAGCTGGAAACGGCTGATTTTTTATGGAATATCTACATAGGCATACAGAGGCCCATTATCAGCAACCATCAGTCCTGTGTTCCAATGGCATGTTGTGTTTGCTAATCCAAGTTTATCATTTTAAAAGGCTAATTGATCATTACAAAACCATTTTGCAATTATGTTAGAACAGCTGAAAACTGTTGTGCTGATTAAATAAGCAATCAAATTGGTCTTCTTGAGACTAGTTGAGTATCTGGAGCATCAGGCTCAAAATGGCCAGAAACAAAGAATTTTCTTCTGAAACTCGTCAGTCTATTCTTGTTCTGAGAAATGAAGGCTATTCCATGCGAGAAATTGCCAAGAAACTGAAGATCTCGTACAACACTGTGTACTACTCCCTTCACAGAACAGCACAAACTGGCTCTAACCAGAATAGAAAGAGGAGTGGGAGGCCCCGGTGCACAACTGAGCAAGAGGACAAATACATTTGAGTGTCTAGTTTGAGAAACAGGCGCCTCACAGGTTCTCAACTGGCAGCTTCATTAAATAGTACCCGCAAAACACCAGTCTCAACGTCAACAGTGAAGAGGCGACTCCGGGATGCTGACCTTCTAGGCAGAGTTGCAAAGAAAAAGCCATATCTCAGACTGCCCATCTTTTATTTTTATTGGCCAGTCTGAGATATGGCTTTTTCTTTGCAACTCTGCCTAGAAGGTCAGCATCCCGGAGTCACCTCTTCACTGTTGACGTTGAGACTGGTGTTTTGCGGGTACTATTTAATGAAGCTGCCAGTTGAGGACCTGTGAGGCGTCTGTTTCTCAAACTAGACACTCCAATGTATTTGTCCTCTTGCTCAGTTGTGCACTGGGGCCTCCCACTCCTCTTTCTATTCTGGTTAGAGCCAGTTTGCGCTGTACAAGATCTTCAGTTTCTTGGCAATTTCTTGCATGGAATAGCCTTTATTTCTCAGAACAAGTATAGACTGACGAGTTTCAGAAGAAAGTTATTGACCAAGTTTCTGGCCATTTTGAGCCTGTAATCGAACCCACAATTGCTGATGCTCCAGATACTCAACTAGTCTCAAGAAGGCCAGTTTGATTGCTTCTTTAATCAGCACAACAGTTTTTAGCTGTACTAACATAATTGCAAAATGGTTTTCTAATGATCAATTAGCCTATTAAAATGATAAACTTGGATTAGCAAACACAATGTTTCATTGGAACACAGGACTGATGGTTGCTGATAATGGGCCTCTGTACGCCTATGTAGATATTCCATTAAAAATCAGCCGTTTTCAGCTACAATAGCCATTTACAACATTAACAATGTCTACACTGTATTTCTGATCAATTTGATGTTATTTTAATGGACAAAACATTTTCTAAGTGACCCCAAACTTTTGAACGGTATTGTATATCTATACCTTATGTACAGTTTAAGTCGGAAGTTTACATACACTTTGGTTGGAGTCATTAAAACTCATTTTTCAACCACTCCACAAATTTCTTGTTTACAAACTATAGTTTTGGCAAGTCGGTTAGGACATCTACTTTGTGCATGACACAAGTAATTTTTCTAACAATTGTTTACAGACAGATTATTTCACTTATAATTCACTGTATCACAATTCCAGTGGGTCAGAAGTTTACATACACTATTTTGACTGTGCCTTTAAACAGCGTGGAAAATTCCAGAAAATGATGTCATGGCTTTAGACGCTTCTGATAGGCTAATTGACATCATTTGAGTCAATTGGAGGTGTACCTGTGGATGTATTTCAAGGCCTACCTTCAAACTCAGTGCCTCTTTGCTTGACATCATGGGAAAATCAAAAGAAATCAGCTAAGACCTCAGAAAAAGAATTGTAGACCTCCACAAGTCTGGTTCATCCTTGGGAGCAATTTCCAAATGCCTGAAGGTACCACATTCATCTGTACAAACAATAGTATGCAAGTATAAACACCATGGGACCACGCAGCCATCATACCGCTCAGGAAGGAGATGCGTTCTGTCTCCTAGAGATGAACGTACTTTGGTGCGAAAAGTGCAAATCAATCCCAGAACAACAGCAAAGGACCTTGTGAAGATGCTGGAGGAACAGGTACAAAAGTATCTATATCCACAGTAAAACGAGTCCTATATCAACATAACCTGAAAGGTCGCTCAGCAAGGAAGAATCCACTGCTCCAAAACCGCCATAAAAAAGCCATACTACGGTTTGCAACTGCACATGAGATCGTACTTTTTGGAGAAATGTCCTCTGGTCTGATGAAACAAAAATAGAACTGTTTGGCCATAATGACCATCGTTATGTTTGGAGGAAAAAGGGGGTAGCTTGCAAGCCGAAGAACACCATCCCAACCGTGAAGCACGGGGGTGGCAGCATCATGCTGTGGGGGTGTTTTGCTGCAGGAGGGCCTGGTGCACTTCACAAAATAGATGGCATCATGAGGAAGGAAAATTATGTGGATATATTGAAGCAACATCTCAAGACATCAGTCAGGAAGTTAAAGCTTGGTCGCAAATGGGTCTTCCAAATGGACAATGACCCCAAGCATACTTCCAAAGTTGTGGCAAAATGGCTTAAGGACAACAAAGTCATGGTATTGGAGTGGCCATCACAAAGCCCTGACCTCAATCCTATAGAAAATCTGTGGGCAGAACTAAAATAGCGTGTGCGAGCAAGGAGGCCTACAAACCTGACTCAGTTACACCAGCTCTGTCAGGAATTGTGGGAAGCTTGTGGAAGGCTACCCGAAACGTTTGACCCAAGTTAAACAATTTAAAGGCAATGCTACCAAATACTAATTGAGTGTATGTAAACTTCTGATCCACTGGGAATGTGATGAAAGAAATCAAATCTGAAAGAAATAATTCTCTCTACTATTGTTCTGACATTTCACATTCTTAAAATAAAGTGGTGATCCTAACTGACCTAAGACAGGGAAGTTTTACAATGATTAAATGTCAGGAATTGTGAAAAACTGAGTTTAAATGTATTTGGCTAAGGTGTATGTAAACTTCCGACTTCAACGGTATACCTTAGTCTAGTCTAGAGGTGAGCACACAAGCTTTTTTTATTAACTTTTCTGAAGTAATTGTTTGGCCATTCACAGTTCTGTAGTGTGCTTCAAAGCTATAGAGTGTATTTGAGTGACTAAGGACAAAATTAAACTGTTTAACAAACTCTTTTGCATCTACAGAATGTTCATTCTAAGATGAGGATTATTATAGTGCATTATCCCTACATACAGTATAAGATCAACAGGAGACTGGCTCACCAGTGACAGAGGCAGTAGTGTTTCACAGATTAACACACTGGGGGTGAAGGTGTGTGTCTCATTCATTGCGCTCGTGAACATCAGGGTGACTGCTGCCAACAGATCAGCTAGAGCCAGCTGGACCAAGGGATTCACCTAAAAAGACACAGGCATTTGTGTGTTTGCAAAACTAAGAGAAAATGACAAAACATTGTACATCTATAGCCACAGAATAAATATATCCTGTCTAATGTGCTTGACGCAGGTGGGAATGAACTTGATATAATTCATAGCCTTGGTGTTACAGCTTCTGTAAGAATGTGTCAAGGGTCACATTGGCATAGCCGTGGGAAGTAGGGGTGCTGAGGATCCTGCAGCACCCCCTGAAAAATCAGAATAATAAAATAAATATTAATAACATATATAAACATAACATGTATATATACAGTATATATGAAACATTTTCACAAAAGTAGTGCACTGGGCCTTTACTATTCCTGTATTAGTGGACCGATATAGCCGTCTGCAGCGTGGGCAAACATCTTCCCACATTGCACATTGGTCCCAGAGAGCATCACCAAACTACTAGTGTTCTGGGGTGAGTTACTGTATGTTTAGGGTCCACGGACATTCAGTTAATAGTTTGCACTGGTACTGTTTGTTCACTGTTCTATCGTTTAAGTATGTTATTGTCTCTTTCTCCATCCCCTGTGACCCCACTAGAAGGGCCTCTCCAACTTTCGCTAGAGTAGATAGAGCAGGCAGTCCTATAGTTCTGACTCAATGAGGGAGTATAGACACAGGCAGACAGGGAGGGAGTAGCCTGGGCCATGTTCAGTAGGCCACAACGATTCGGAAGATAATGATCATGTTACAGTGGGGGGAAAAAAGTATTTAGTCAGCCACCAATTGTGCAAGTTCTCCCACTTAAAAAGATGAGAGAGGCCTGTAATTTTCATCATAGGTACACGTCAACTATGACAGACAAAATGAGAAACAAAATCCAGAAAATCACATTGTAGGATTTTTTATGAATTTATTTGCAAATTATGGTGGAAAATAAGTATTTGGTCAATAACAAAAGTTTCTCAATACTTTGTTATATACCCGTTGTTGGCAATGACACAGGTCAAACGTTTTCTGTAAGTCTTCACACGGTTTTCACACACTGTTGCTGGTATTTTGGCCCATTCCTCCATGCAGATCTCCTCTAGAGCAGTGATGTTTTGGGGCTGTCGCTGGGCAACACGGACTTTCAACTCCCTCCAAAGATTTTCTATGGGGTTGAGATCTGGAGACTGGCTAGGCCACTCTAGGACCTTGAAATGCTTCTTACGAAGCCACTCCTTCGTTGCCCGGGCAGTGTGTTTGGGATCATTGTCATGCTGAAAGACCCAGCCACGTTTCATTTTCAATGCCCTTGCTGATGGAAGGAGGTTTTCACTCAAAATCTCACGATACATGGCCCCATTCATTCTTTCCTTTACACGGATCAGTCGTCCTGGTCCCTTTGCAGACAAACAGCCCCAAAGCATGATGTTTCCACCCCCATGCTTCACAGTAGGTATGGTGTTCTTTGGATGCAACTCAGCATTCTTTGTCCTCCAAACACGACGAGTTGAGTTTTTACCAAAAAGTTCTATTTTGGTTTCATCTGACCATATGACATTCTCCCAATCCTCTTCTGGATCATCCAAATGCACTCTAGCAAACTTCAGACGGGCCTGGACATGTACTGGCTTAAGCAGGGGGACACGTCTGGCACTGCAGGATTTGAGTCCCTGGCGGCATAGTGTGTTACTGATGGTAGGCTTTGTTACTTTGGTCCCAGCTCTCTGCAGGTCATTCACTAGGTCCCCCCGTGTGGTTCTGGGATTTTTGCTCACCGTTCTTGTGATCATTTTGACCCCACGGGGTGAGATATTGCGTGGAGCCCCAGATCGAGGGAGATTATCAGTGGTCTTGTATGTCTTCCATTTCCTAATAATTGCTCCCACAGTTGATTTCTTCAAACCAAGCTGCTTACCTATTGCAGATTCAGTCTTCCCAGCCTGGTGCAGGTCTACAATTTTGTTTCTGGTGTCCTTTGACAGCTCTTTGGTCTTGGCCATAGTGGAGTTTGGAGTGTGACTGTTTGAGGTTGTGGACAGGTGTCTTTTATACTGATAACAAGTTCAAACAGGTGCCATTAATACAGGTAACAAGTGGAGGACAGAGGAGCCTCTTAAAGAAGAAGTTACAGGTCTGTGAGAGCCAGAAATCTTGCTTGTTTGTAGGTGACCAAATACTTATATAATTGTATCACACTCTCACACACACACACACACACACACACATATAGGTACAGGCACGCACGCACACACACACAGTCAAATATGCTCTTCCTCTCATCCACCCACCTGTTCTTGTAGGTGTCTCCTCTTTGCAATGGAAACCACCAGCACTGAAAAACTCCCAATCAAACTAGAAACAGAAAGTCAAATACCTAAATACTGAGAGTACAAAATTATAGCACCATTACAGTGGCTTGCGAAAGTATTCACCCCCCTTGGCATTTTTCCAATTTTGTTGCCTTACAACCTGGAATTAAAATGGATATTTTGGGCGTTTGTATAATTTGATTTACACAACATGCCTACCACTTTCTTGTGAAACAAACAAGAAATAAGCGTGCTTGAGCGTGCTTGAGCGTGCAAACATCCCCACAGCATGATGCTGCCACCACCATGCTTCACTGTGGGGATGGTGTTCTCGGGGTGATGAGAGGTGTTGGGTTTGCGCCAGACATTTTTTTCATTTCACTTCACCAATTTTGACTATTTTGTGTATGTCCATTACATGGAATCCAAATACAAATCCATTTAAATTACAGGTTGTAATGCAACAAAATAGGAAAAACGCCAAGGGGGATGAATACTTTTGCAAGGCACTGTACAAAACAGTCAAAGATTGTGATGGAAAATAAATACAATCAAATTACAACACAAAGACATGGAATGCTAGTCTGGGTATCAGTCTTTTTAGCTAACATTCCACTTCTTGCCACTCCTGTCATGACAGGAGTGGCAAGGAGCGGAACATAATAGCTGAACAGAGATGGAATCCAGGCTAATGGTATGCAATAAAGGAATATCAAATCATAAAATGTAATGTAGGCCTATACCATGTCCTATAAACCATCAGAATAACTAGCAGGTAATAGATGCTTGACCTAGATACACACACACACACACACACACACACACACACACTGTGGAGGCTGCTTGGTTGAGTGTATGTAGTAAAAGGGGGGAGCTGTCCAGTGGACTGGGTGCTGAAATGGGAGGCAGGGGCTTGGGTGGGCGTGGGGCTGTGTCCTGATCGATTGGAGGCTAACAACTCAAGAATCACTCACTGATCTCAAGACCTCTGCATTCAGATGTAGGCTACATGCATTCAAATGAAGTTTATTTCCAAAATGCTATATCCACCTCTATATATGGGGTGGCAGGTAGCCTAGTGGTTAATAGCGGTGGGCCAGTAACTGAAAGGTTGCTGGTTCAAATCCCAGAGCTGGCAAGGTGGAAAAAACTGCCCTTCTGCCCTCGAGCAAGGCAGTTAACCCTGAACAACAACTGGTCCCCGGGCGCCGTGGACGTCGATTAAGGCAGCCCCCCGCACCTCTCTGATTCAGAGGGGTTGGGTTAAATGCGGAAGACACATTTCGGTTGAATGCATTCAGTTGTGCAACTGCCTAGGTATTCTATATCCCAAAATGTGTGTTTTTTCACTAGAAATGATTGCTTATGGGCACCTTCGTGAGTGTGTAAAATATTACTGTTCATAGATTTTAGATGTGTAACCTATATATCCATTGTTTAGCTGGAATGGAATGTTCATATACTGTATATTTTACTGTGATATGTGGTTGTCTCACCTTGCTATCTTAAGATGATTGCACTAACTGTAAGTCACTCTGTGTGTAAGTCACACAGGGCATCTGCTAAATCTGCTAAATGACTAAAATGTAAAATGTAAATTTTTTACATACATATCTCTAATTACTGTATTGATTAATTTTTTAAATATATATATTGATGTCACAAATGTAGCATAAAACATGTTACATTTGACTGTGTAAAACCTCCCACTGGACACAGACATCAATTCAATGTCTATTCCATGCTGGTTCAACGTGATTTCATTGAAATGACGTGGAAACAATGTTGATTCAACCAGTGTGTGCCCAGTGGGCACAAAATGCAGATAGTCTCAAAATGCAGATAGCATTTTGCAAAAACATGATTATTTGTCTCTCTAAAATGAAACCATCATAAGTTCTTTAAACAATAAAAGCTAATTTACCAACATTTCTGAAAATGGATATATAGCGTTTTGGAATGAAACCCTTCAAATATAATAAGTCAAGAAAAATAACAAGGTTGTCTCTAAAATGACACATATCAAACTTGACCCTAAATAAACAAAACACATCAAGCGGTTCTTTGCAGCCAAACAACAAACTCCTCATCTACTATGCAGGCTTAAAGGACAGCATGGTAGTGCTGTCAAGAGCTAGAGTTAGGCATGGCCAACACAGTGCTTTATATTGCCTACGCCCCGAGTTATGATAAATTACGTAAGTCACATGCATGTCAAGTTGCTCAACTGGTCTGACTGGCAACACTGCAGAAATATAAGATGAAAAGACCGGAGGCCAACCATGTTATTATGAGAAGATACGTGTGTGAAGTCAACTTCTCAGTTGTGTAATTTACTAGTCTACGTTTTCAACAACAACCAAAACAAACTAAAATATTTTCTAGACTAGCCTACTATAAATTGCTTTGATTTGAAAACACATAGCCTAGGTAAGACTATTTGCACAACACTTAAGAACAGTTACATTTAGAAACACTCAGTGGTGGAAAAAGTACCCAATTGTCATACTTGAGTACAAGTAAAGATACCTTAATAGAAAATGACTCAAGTAAAACTGAAAGTCACCCATTGAAATACTACTTGAGTAAAAGTCTAAAAGTATTTGGTTTTAAATATACTTAAGTATCAAAAGTAAATTTAATTGCAAAAATATACTAAAGTATCAAAAGTAAAAGTAAAAGTATACATCATTTCACATTCCTAATATTAAGCAAACCTGATGGCACCATTTTCTATTTTTTTAAGGATAGCCAGGGGTACATTCCAACACTCAGACATAATTTACAAACAAAGCATTTGTGTTTAGTGAGTCCATAGTAGGGATGACCATGGATGTTCTCTTGAGAAGTGCGTGAATTGGACCATTTTCGTGTCCTGCTAAGCATTCGAAATGTGAGGAGTACTTTTGGGTGTCAGGGAAAATGTATGGAGTAAAAAGTATATTATTTTCTTTAGGAATGTAGTGAAGTAAAAGTAAAAATTGTCAAAAATATAAATAGTAAAGTAAAGAAAAGATACCCCAAAAAACTACGTAAGTAGTACTTTAAAGTAATTTTACTTAAGTACTTTACACCACTGGAAACACTTAGACCTAAACTTTCTTAAATCGTAGCTGACATGCAACACTTTACATCCATGTGTCACAGATAGCTTAAGGGTGTGTGAAGTCAGTTTTGCTTACCTTAAAGACAGAGACACCAGGTACACAGTCGAGAGACCAGTGATCTAAATAAAGAAAACATTTTAGAATCAATTCAATAGTGTGCCGAAATAGCCATAAAACAGAATGAGCCTGGGCCAATAGCTAGCTCCATTGCAGCTCTGTAATATTTTTCAATGGGGCTTTTATAGCTATACCTATAATGTAAATAGGTTTAGAGACTACACATCAATTTACTTGCACCAATCATTGAAAAAATATGTCTTACCTGGTCATTGCTTAAAGTTCGATTCAAATCCATAGTGAATGAGCCGCACAATAGCCACCTAGGCAAAGTTATCCAAAGCGCACCTGTCCTTAGTCTGAAATAAATAAATCGTTATCCATGTAGTCCGCAGCACAAAATATATGATTCTTTCCATAAGTCTGAGTGTGTTATTAAAAGGCAGCCCGCCCACCGCACCAAGACGCCTGCGCTTTGGACCTGTCTGTCACATGTCGATTTACCTTTGCGGCGAAAATCCCCACACGGGACAGGTGTAGGAATTTCCCTTCGGAAATGCCGTGCATGGCGGTCGTTCGATGAACCAGGTCTCATACTGGTTTGGAGATTTGGGGAAAAGACCAGAGAGTTGCCTATAGAGAACCCTATACATCCTATAATAATAACTGTTTATTATATATGTTAATTATTTGTTTGGCATAGGCTACATAATGCATGCACCAGCTTTTAATGGGACACACAAGTTGCAGAGGAGAAACTCAAATGCAGTAAAAACATTGTTTACTCTAAACACCAGATTAACACGTTTCTCAGTGATAGTAGGCTTGCTGCCCTACTTAGCCAAACGCATCTATTGCACAGAACGTGCGTGAGTGTGCTTGCTTGTTTATGTTTCAAACAATCTCTATAATGTGTGACATTGATCACTGCCCATTGCAGAAACAAACACATTATATCCCTCACACTTCACCATAATGTAATGAAATGCATGATGAGGAGGATTAACTAATTAATTATACCCTGTGAAGTTAAATTGGGCTGTCAGAAGATAAATACTGACCAAAGAGGGTCTATCTGATGTGACGTCATTAGTTCGCGTTGCAATAACAGCGAACCCGTGTTGTAATTTGACATCTGATGGCACACAATGGAACTGCAAATAAGCAGTGTGAACAACAAGTGACATTTCTACATTCATTTTATTGTATTTTATGTGATACAAATTAGTAGTGTTGGATCGGTCAAACCTGTAAATGCAGAGTCGTTTTACTTACGATAATGTCTGCTCAAGACAATTGTCCCTGCATTAGTTTAATATTGCGTTGTCCATCACCACGTTGCTCCTAATGCTAATAAAGTTGAGTCAAATCGATGACGTTGGGAGTTCCACGTTGGCCCGGACGTGGCAGCATTAGAGGACAGAAAGGATTCCTTGCTTGGGAGTCACAAACAGATAGATTCACACCTCTTGTCTCAAGAACGACAAGAATTTAGAAACGCTTTCCTTAAACATTTGAGACATTCACGCACAACATGGGGCTCCTAATCTCGTCAGTTTTTACCAGACTGTTCGGCAAGAAACAGATGAGAATACTTATGGGTAAGTGTCGGCTGTTAACTAGCTGATGTCAGCTGGCTAACTTTGGCTTTCAAATGTACTGTAAAACATCACAGTCTAGTGAGTTACTAACATATATATAACAAAAAAAGTTGAATCGTTGGACCCAAATGGTGTAGCTAGGATAGTAACGGTGACCAGTTAGCTAACAGTAGCTAACGTTAGTTCATAGTTGTCCAAAAAGTGTTGCTAGCTACTACGTAGCTAACTTTTTGGTGGTTGACTTGTGTCAACATACTTGCAGAAAGTTCAAATATAGTTAGTTATTTAACTAGCTAGCTACTTGTACTAACTGTATATTTAAGTTAGCTAGCTAACGGGTATAGAATAATAGAAAACTAACCAGCTAGTTACAAAAATCCCTCTAACAATGTTGTTTCTTGGTCTGTCGTGAGTGACTAGCTAGTTTGCTAGTTCTAGCTCACGTTAGTTAGCCATCTGTTTAGCTAGCTATCCGTCATTTGCTGGTGGGTTTTCGTATCTTCATGCAGCAATCGACACGGATAAGCTACACCGTTAATAGCTACAATAAAAATGTCAATGTGATGTTAGACATTGGGTATTTTTTTGAATGCACTTTGTTGCATGTGAGAATGAGATCGATTTATTTGAACATTACGTTTGTTTTCTCAGTGGGTTTGGATGCTGCAGGGAAAACGACTATCTTGTACAAACTGAAGCTGGGAGAAATAGTGACCACCATTCCAACTATCGGTAAAACACACACACACACACACAGTCAAACAGTCACACCCACAATTCACCCTCCAGTCTCACCTGCTCTTGCTTGATTGCATTGTTGGCTTTACTCCCCCACCCCCCATAAAAAAAAAAAAGTGGTTGTCCCACTGGCTATCATAAGTTGAATGCACCAAATTGTAAGTCTCTCTGGATAAGAGCATCTGCTAAATGACGTAAATGTACATTTAGGTATGATTGACTTAGGTAGAATATTGGACTGCCACTAACCACATTCATGCACTAGTCTATAGATATAATAATATATTGCCATCCATCTAATACATGGGATTGACATTTAGACTTCATACATACATACATACATACATACAGGTTCTCCACCACCCCTCAAAGTTTCCAACGCGATACCTCATGTGACTCCAATGGTTTTTGAACACTGGGAATGTTAATTTCAGATATTTGTGTAGTGCGTTTGTTTAATGACCTTTCATGGTCTGTGTGTGTGACAGGCTTTAACGTGGAGACGGTGGAGTATAAGAACATCTGCTTCACGGTGTGGGATGTTGGTGGTCAGGACAAGATCAGACCCCTCTGGAGACACTACTTCCAGAACACACAGGTAAACGCACACACCAAAAGGGAACCGGGGAGGCTACAGCCTACTCTTTTACTTCTCTCATGTAATGCCTCAGGGCATCCTCCTCCTCTCTGACTGTTCTGCTCTGACTGTGTTCCTCCCTCACTCAGGGTCTGATCTTTGTAGTGGACAGCAACGACAGAGAGAGAGTGGCTGAGTCTGCAGAGGAGCTCTCTAAAATGGTAGGTATATTTACTGTATGTATGATATGTAGTTAATGATGGGTATATTTACTGTTGGTATGGTATGTAGGTCTGTAGACTTGCTAAGTGTCTTGGCTGGGTCTGTTTATTTATAATTGACTGGACATTGAACCTGAAACTTTGTGTGAAACAATTTATTTAATCACAGAGCACAGTGTTGACTTTCTGAACAAGAGCTCATTATCTCAAACTAGTGATCTAATCACTCTCCCCCTAGCTCCAGGAGGATGAGTTGAGAGAAGCAGTGTTGCTGGTGTTTGCTAACAAGCAGGATCTTCCCAATGCTATGGCAGTCAGCGACCTCACAGATAAACTGGGACTGCAGAGCCTCCGCAGCAGAGTGGTGAGTCTATCACAGACCTAGACATACAAACACTAATGCAGGCACACTTTTCTCAATGTTGATCATTTTCTTTCTCTCTCTCCCTTCTCAGTGGCACGTGCAGGCGACCTGTGCGACCCAGGGCACAGGACTGTATGAAGGACTGGACTGGCTTTCCAACGAGCTGTCCAAGCAATAACACCGGACATCACAAGAGAGAAAAGCCGAGAACGAGAGTGAACCACAGAGATAGAAGACTGACACCTTCAATCAAGAGAAGTTTGGTCTTGAAGAACTTGTGCCCATAGAATGGACAGGACTTGTGGACAATGCAATCAATACATACATACATGAACAGCTTATTATTTTACTACTCTTTTTACTTCACTTTCTTTTACTTTAGACGAGTATCTGAAGGGATAACAGTAATCTTCACTTTTTCCCAACCTCATATTTTGCAGCAGATAAACTGACGCTTTCAATTGCGTGTTTAGCAAATGGCTGCTCTGAGACACCATGGAGATGCCTCTTCCTCTGTAAAGTGTTCTGCTGGGTTGACGTTGCCCACAACCACTGATCCTGGGTCAGACCTTTTTAAATCTGCCTATGGTTAAGATTAGGATTGGGGGTGTTGTAATCTGATCCTAGATCTGTGGTAAAGGGAAACTTCTACCACAAACTGTTCAGGTCCACTAGACCTCATGGACATTTTCATTGAAACAACCCTGACCCTTTACCTCTCACCCCTGTGACCTCACTGCCATGCTATTTCACCTCTGTAAGGGACAGACGTTTCTAGAATGAGATTAAGAATAAGATGACAGTGATGTCATAAATCTCCAGTTTGAGGAAGTTTTTCTGCACTGGGAGCCAAATGGAACTCCTCCCAGTGAATGGAACAGAATGGAACCACTGGAAACAGTTTGCTCCTGGTACTACCTGTTTTCGCCATATTATTGTAGGGTAGCTTTGCTCTGGGCTCTCCAAATAGAAAAGAGGAGATGCTTTTTATGGGCCACAATTATGTAATAACCCATTTCCTTATGTGCTTTGATGTAAGCTGTGGGAAGCTGAAATTAGTAGGTAGAAGTTGCCGCTAATCGTTGAAACAGGTGTTTGATACTTTTTCATCCTCCTAATGATTCAGGTTAGGATGGGTAACCTGATCCAGGATCTGTGGTTAGGTACAACTTCTACCTCGAATGAGCTGAAACGACATACATTTTTTTTGGTCTTGTCTAGTGAGAATGTGCACCTCCTAACCCAGACTGTGGCTCTGTTCTATTACTTAGAAAATGATTTCTTTCCTCTCGCCCGTCCTTGAAGTTATTACATATCTGAAGTATTGGCTTGAAACAATGGCGTCAAGGAAGGAAAGGGAAGAAGGCGGAAGGATGTGTTTTCTAAGCATTGAAACCAGGCCAATATCAGTGTTGTACAGTTCAGTGGCATGCTTGGCTCAGCAGTGCTTGCTTGTTTGTTACCGGGCGCACTCTTCTGGTATTTGATGGCTGATGTTGAGTGCTTAATCTGACCCTCCCACACACACCCCTGCATGTCCCTGAGCTGTGCATACATTCCAACTGATGGATGCTTCTGGAAACTACATAAAGCTGCCACTCAACTTTGAATGACATGATAACTAATTATGTTTTACAAAACATGTATAAATAAATTCACCTGTTAAATTGTCTTTGTCTGAGGATTTAAATGTAAATTGATAGAGCTTGTGTTTTGAATGTGAGGATATGGATACTTCAGTTTGCGTATGTAATTCTCTGTGTAGATTGTGTTAAGGAATGTGTAATGTACCCATGCTCCATGTTTGGCAGCCCAAAGCTTTAGGTCTCTCCGGCTGAAGTGAATCAGCTCCTCCCTTCTGGCATAGTTCCAAAGCCAACACTAGAGAAACATGAAGGGTGACTGTGCACATTCACTTACACCCTGGCTGAGTGGAAATCTGGAATCAGATGAAACAAGGATGAAAATGACTTGTCTGTCTAATGTCCTTAACCTCACACACAGTGCCTGAGTCAGGTTTTACCTAAAGTATAGAGGGGGTGTGAAACTATAGTACATCCTGCCACATCTCGGTTTAGGGTGAAGTTGCCCCTAGTTCTAATATTGGGTCAGGTTTGCATTTCCCCCACTAATGGTTAAGGGGAGTGGAAACTTCAACCCGGAGCCCTCATCTCTTAGGCCTTAGTTCTGTTAGTTGTGGTACTGTACATGAACTAGAATAATATTTGGTATTTGTGATATCAGGTACAATGATATCACAACAGTTGTCTTCATTTCTAATGGAAAACTTGCTCAGAGAAATGTGCTCACAGGACTGTTCAGACAGATCATGACATTGCAGTTGTAATCCACCAGGGGGGGTTCTTGGTTAAATATTTTGTGTTATGTGCAGTGTCACCTTGGGTTATTTCTGTTGGGAGAAGTTGGGTACATTGTGTGTTTGTGTGGGAGCAGTCAGTATTGGTATGAAATGTGACTGAGAATGCTATATTTGTCTTTCAGTTCAAGGACAGTTACCTTATTTGTTAAGAGTGTATTGGTCAAACGCTACAGTAATCCTCACAATAATATTCACAAGTTTCCTTATTTTATTTGTGTAACTGAAAATACATACTTTTTGAATAGGCCATGTTACTCATGACTTCAAAAGCTACAACAAAAAAACAATGCATCAGGATTCATTTCTAAATATAAAGTAAGATATACTCAAAATGATCATCCTCACATCAGCATAATATTTAACAGTTGGTTGTTGCAGATTATTGACACACTGATAACATGATAATTAATATGGGGTTATGGCATGCATTCTATTTAGGGTATGGTCATAGGAACTGACTTACTCCCCACTGGGCACACACTGGTTGAATAAACGTTGTTTTCACATCATTTCAATGAAATTACATTGAATTGAGGTCTGTCCCCAGTAGGTCTACTTAATTTTAGGGTGTTTGTCAGTGTTGTTTTCCACAGATAATAAAACGTGGAACAAAAAGTTAAATTGAGATGGAAGGGTGCTGATGTGAAAGTTACAGTATATAAAGACAGGGTTTGATGTTAGGAGCTTTGCATTGGTATTTTATTGCCTTCTAAAAAGAACAGGTGTACTTGTTGAAACAGGTGCCTACCCAGCTAGCACATAATGTTCTGAGAACCATATGTTTCTTAGAGCTTGGTGAGAGCATGGTTGTCCTATGGTTTGCATACAACCTTCCCACAACTTTATGGTTATGGTGCAGAATTTTGCTTGGCTTTAGAACATTCTTAGCACATTTAAGGAACTTGACAAAATAACGTTACATTTTGGAAATGTTCTCCAACTGATTTGTTAACATTTACATTTAAGTCATTTAGCAGACGCTCTTATCCAGAGTGACTTACAAATTGGTGCATTCAACTTAGGATAGCCAGTTGAATAACCACTCTTTTTTTCTTCTTTTTTTTAAATGGGGGGGAGGGGGGGTAGAAGGATTACTGTTATACTATTCCAGGTATTCCTTAATGAGGTAGGGTTTCAATTTTGACATGGGAATGTTCTCAAATAGTTCAGAAAATGTTAAGAAACAACGTTCTCCTGTGGGAATTTCAGTTCTTCAGCATAACGTTTCCTACAGGTTTCCTCATGGTTCTATTTTTTTTTAAACAGAGTCGATGTCCGTGCCCGCACATACATCTAATTAGCATAATACAAAAATCCCAATGAAAATCTGTCTGTTTAAGCTAGAGATATCTTTTTGCATGGGCTGCGTCTTAATCTACCGCATCCACCGAAGTTGGCCTTCCGCATCTGCAGTGGAAGGTGGCAGAGCTACAGCAGTGTTTGTCAGACCAGGAGACATCCCAAAAATAGGTCTTCTCACGAAAACGTCTGTAGCGTCCGAACCATTTGGGGTTTGCTCAATGACCCCCACAAGCCTCACAAGACTCCCTGTGCAACCTAAAAATAAATATTCCCAGAACAGGCAAAATGTTCACTTCCGTTCTCAGAACGTAACTTATGGCTACGTTCCCAGAACCAATGGGAAATCAAAAACGTACGTTTTCACAACTTCCAAGGAACCAAATGTGCTAGCTGGGTAGAAGCCTAGAAACAAATAAACCATATCTGAGAAAAGGAGAGGCAGCAGAGAAACGAAACTTAAAGGGAAAGAAGAAACGTGTGGCAAAGAGCCACTGTGCTCAGCCCGTGCACGCCCACACACACACAATGCAGGCTGAGGGTGTTAGGTGCTTTCCTGTGGCCCTCAGCATTGTAATGACAGATCAGGAGGGGGAGGAGAGAGTTTGTTCAGGGTATAAAAGGAGGTTGCAATGTTTGATCTGTCCTTTCTATCCTGCGGAGCCCTCCGCTAAAGGATTCGGGTGAGTTTCCTTTCTATAGAGATCTAATAGCTTGTATAGTGAGTGATTTGTTTTATGTACTTTGTTTGTCATTCAGTTTGCATGCATTTCAATATCATCAAACCCAAATATTGTATTTGTTTTGTTGTACAGTTACAGTTACAGGAATAGGTTACAGTTTTTTCTTTATAGTACAAGATAACTTTGACAAGACTATAATACATGGTAAGATTATTTGTTAAACATCAATGCTGTACCGGGAGGATGTATCAGTATCGCCTGCGTCACTCACATACAGTTGAAGTCGGAAGTTTACATATACTTAGGTTGGAGTCATTAAAACTTGTTTTTCAACCACTCCACAAATGTCTTGTTAACAAACTATAGTTATGGCAAGTTGGTTAGGACATGTACTTTGTGCATGACACAAGTAATTTTTCCAACAATTGTTTGTGGACAGATTATTTCACTTATAATTCACTGTATCACAATAACAGTGGGTCAGAAGTTTACATACGCTAAGTTGACTGTGCCTTTAAACAGCTTGGAAAATTCCAGAAAATGATGTCCACAAATCTGGTTAATCATTGGGAACAATTTCCAAATGCCTGAAGGTACTGCGTTCATCTGTACAAACAATAGTACGCAAGTATAAACACCATGGGACCACGCAGCCGTCATACCTCTCAGGAAGGAGACGCGTTCTGTCTCCTAGAGATGAATGTACTTTGGTACGAAAAGTGCAAATCAATCCCAGAACAACAGCAAAGGACCTTGTGAAGATGCTGGAGGAAACTGGTACAAAAGTATCTATATCCACAGTAAAACGAGTCCTATATCGACATAACCTGAAAGGCCGCTCAGCAAGGAAGAAGCCACTGCTCCAAAACCGGCATAAAAAAGCCAGACTACGGTTTGCAACTGCACATCGGGACAAAGATCATACTTTTTGGAGAAATGTCCTCTGGTCTGATGAAACAAAAATATAACTTTTTGGCCATAATGACCATCGTTATGTTTGGAGGAAAAAGGGGGCAGCTTGCAAGCCGAAGAACACCATCCCAACCGTGAAGCACGGGGGTGGCAGCATCATGCTGTGGGGGTGCTTTGCTGCAGGAGGGACTGGTGCACTTCACAAAATAGATGGCATCATGAGGAAGGAAAATTATGTGGATATATTAAAGCAACATCTCAAGACATCAGTCAGGAAATTAAAGCTTGGTCGCAAATGGGTTTTCCAAATGGACAATGACCCCAAGCACACTTCCAAAGTTGTGGCAAAATAGCTTAAGGACAACAAAATCAAGGTATTCACAAAGCCATCACAAAGCCCTGACCTCAATCCTATAGAACATTTGTGGGCAGAACTGAAAAAGCGTGTGTGAGCAAGGAGGCCTACAAACCTGACTCAGTTACACCAGCTCTGTCAGGAGGAATGGGCCAAAATTCACCCAACTTATTGTGGGAAGCTTGTGGAAGTCTACCCGAAACGTTTGACCCAAGTTAAACAATTTAAAGGCAATGCTACCAAATACTAATTGAGTATATGTAAACTTCTGACCCACTGGGGAATGTGATGAAAGAAATCAAATCTGAAAGAAATCATTCTCTCTACTATTGTTCTGACATTTCACATTCTTAAAATAAAGTGGTGATCCTAACTGACCTAAGACAGGGAAGTTTTACAATGATTAAATGTCAGGAATTGTGAAAAACTGAGTTTAAATGTATTTGGCTAATGTGTATGTAAACTTCCGACTTCAACTGTATATGTGTGTCCTTCCTTGTGTTGCAGGACTGGTGAACCTCTGTCAGGTCACTATGGAGTTCCCACTCTGTTTGCTTGCTGTGTATTTTCTTGTAAGTATCTCACATCGACAACATGCATGTGTCTGTGATGAATAACCCTTTATGGACAATACAAATGTATAGAATTTAATTGAGCCTCTAAACATACTACATTGTAGGGCCAGAGTTGTCTTGTGGACTGACTGTGACTAAAACATAGTCTTGTCCCACAGAGAAGAGGAGAAGAGGAGGAGGAAAGGAGATGAAAAGCCTGCTCCCAAGGGCAGGTCACTAGGTCCCTGGCCGTGTCCTGGGGGGGGTGTTGGGAGTCTGTCCCCTAGCAGGTACTGACCCTCAGCATGACCTCTTAGGACCTGGTCAGTCGGGCCTGGTGAGCAGAGCCAGGAGCTGCAGATTATTTTGATCCGCAGCGACCTTGACGCACCGACGAACCCAAGCACCAGACACCCGAAGACACCTGAGACGACTAGATGAAGCTCATCCGAAGCACAAAGCTTATATTACTTACCTGAATACTTACA